ACAGGCTGAGCCACCAAGCCCGGCTTGTTGTTTTAATTCTTTACAATCAGCATGTATTGTTAGAGGAAACGGTTGAGTTTTTTAGAGGACTTAAACTTTTTTTTTCCCTCTGATAATGCTAGACCTGTTTTCACTGATCGGCTACTCACAATGTGATTCTTGGACCAGTAACTGAGGCATTTCTTGGGAAGTTAGAAATGCAGGCTGAATCAGGAGTTTTTAACAAGACCCGTAGGTGATTCTGAGCACAGTAAAATATGACAAGTTCTTAGTGAGAACTGACTCCTTCCTGTCTCTAGGCCTGAGTCTCTCCCCTACTCAAAGAGGCTGTGACCGAGGTGTCTCTATGGCGCCCCCGGTTGCAATTGTCTAAACTCATTTCTTGTGGTTATCTGCGTGAGTCCCTACAAGAAGGCGGCTGAAAAGACTCAAGGACGAGTGGCCCTGTTGAATAGCCCCTGCTGGGCAGCGCCGGAAGCAGGTGGGCATTGAAGCAGCCTCAGGCTGTAGGTCAGGAGGGAGTCGGGGGTTGGAGGTAAAGAGGCTGCGAGGATTCCTGGTTGCTGGGACCGGAGGGCGCCTGTCCCCTGGACGAGCGAGGACAGCTCGGGACGGTAATAAGGCGGCGGGAGGCGCTGCGAGGGGCCACGGGAAGGCCCGGCACCGACCGAGCTGGGGAGCAGAGCGAGCTCGGGGCGGCAGGGGGCGCTGCGGAGTCGTGTCCCGCTCTGGGCTGCCCGCGGGTCCTCGGCGGCCTGGGGAGCACACCTGGGCAGGTGGAGGTGGGGCCTGAGGAGGCGGGGTCCTGGGGGGCGGGGCCCAGGCCCGGTCCACAAGAGCCAGTGGCTGCGGCGGCCTGGAGATGCTAGCGCTGTGTGGGGAGCAGAAGAGCAGCACACCTGGATTGCGCACAGGCGAGCCGCCGACCCTTCGCAACCGAGAGGTGAGCCCAGCCGGGTCGGGTCGGGTCGGACCAGCTCGGGGGTTTCAGGCACAGGAGCGGCCGCGGGGCGCTGTGGCTTTCCGGACGCAGTCTGCGCGGTGGGTGGCCGTGCCGGCATCTGCTGATGGCTGCTTGGCGGCGGCTAGGATGCTGGGACACGTTCCCAGGGAGGTCGAGTCCAGCGGCCTGGCGTCTACCCACGACGTGGCCAGGGCAGAGCTGGGACACTGTCGTCTCTGAACCACTCAGACACCGGGTCTGGGGGTCCCGGGCCGGTTATCGCCTCTTTCCTCCGCCCAGCACCTACTCAGCCCCCTTCCCGTCCGGATGAGACGCGTGCACTTGACCGCTGCTGTTCCTTTTACCCTCTAGAAAGCTTTCTCTGGGGCGACTGTTGTTGCAGAAAGAAGCAAACACTTGACGCGGGCTGGCTGGATTCTCCCGGCGGCTTCGCCCCGGCTCCCCGGGGGCAGACGTGGCTCTGGCCGCAGGACAGCGCCCGCCCCTCGCGGGCCGGGCAGGGGCTGCAGAGTCGCCCGGGGAGGCTCAGGCGATTTCCGCACAGCACGGTAGACGGGGTCGCCTTCGGGACAGGCATGTCCTGTCCCGCGAACCCGACCCTAGACGCTCATTCCTCCCCAAGCTTCAGACTCGTTTACTCTGGTATGCGGAATAGGCAAGATTGGGGGTAGGTGAGGGCAGTAGAATCACTGCCATGAACCAGGGCCCTAGGATTCAAGAGAATCCTTTAAATCCTTCCTACCTGTGTGACCCTGGGCTAATTACCTAATCTTTCTGCACTTCGGTTTCCTCCTCTGTGAAATGAGCATGGTAATACTACCTCATAGAATTGTCGTGAGGATTAAATTAGGTAGTGTGTCAGGCCCGTGCGGTGGCTCATGCCTGCAATCCCAGCACTTTGGGAGGATCGCTTGAGGTCAGGAGTTCGGGACCAACCTGGATAACATAGTGAGACCTCATCTCTACACAAAAATTAGCCAGATGTGGCCGTGCACACCTGTAGTCTCAGCTATTCGGGAGGCTTGAGGCAGAAGGATCACCTGAACCCAAGTGAGTCGTGATTATGTCATTGCACTCCAGCCTAGGTGACAGAGTGAGACCATGACTCAAAAATAAATAAATAAATGAATAGGTAATGTGTAAAAAGGACTGAATCGGATGCCTGACAGTAGTCAGGGATCAATAAATGATAGCTGCTATTATTGCTGTTATTGTTATTGTTATTATTATTATCAAAAAGCAACATAGCTAGTCATTAAAAGCATGGATTCCTGGGTTAAAATCCCAGCTCAGCCACTTTCTAGTGTGTGACCTTGGGCAAGCTACTTTACCTCTCAGTGTCTCCTTGGGCAAGCTACTTTACCTCTCAATGTCTCCATTTCACTTGTATAATGGGGATAATTATGGTACCTACCTCAGAAGATTGTTGGAAAAATTAAATTAGGTAATACCTGCAAAGTACTTAGAATAGTGAATGTCATACATCAGCTACTAATTCTTCCTCAATGGCATCGTACTGAATCAAGCTGTACAACCTGATAGTAGCTATAACCCTGTTTGGCTTTGAGGTATTATTTGTGCAAACATTGATCTGTTTTGCAAGAAGTAAGTTGGGTTTTCTTCCTTCACTTGTGGCTCCCCTGACATGAGCAGCTGATCCACTGGGGCCAGGGTCAGTTTTGGGGAAGGGACTCCTGAAGCAGAGGGACCACAGGAGTTGGTTTCAATGAGAAGACTGGGAGTTGGAGAGAGGAGTTTCCAGAATTTCAGTTTCTGTTGAACATTTGCAGAGGAAAATTTCCCTGGGCTGTTTTGCTGACAGGAAATTAAAACTGGACCTAGATTTTTTAAAAAACAAACAAACTCTTGCTAACATTTTGTTTGAGGTTGGAGTGATAAAGGGGGAGGGGGTGGATAGGCAATATTTTAAATGATAAAGCAAAAATAAATCAGATTCCCTTTGCCAAGAGACTAAAAGTTTCATTTTGAGGGTCAGAGATGGTTTTTCTCCTTCTGGCAAAATCCTCTAAGTCTGTGGAGGGTTTGGAGCAACTTGGCTGCCTCCGGACAGCTCATCTCACACCCAGAACTCTATTTTCTTTTGCATTGTAAGCCTCAAATCCACTGGCATCATAAGCTTGAAATTCTCCAACTTTGCCCCAGCTCCCTATTTTGGACCATATCCCATGGTTTCAGGGTGGAGAAAAAGTTATTCCACCGCTCCTGTATCCTGTCTAGAGAAATTGAGGAGGTGCACCAAAGTCCTCGTACCAGATGCAAGCCCTCTGGGGGCCTGGGACCACCATGTAGACCCCACTCCAAATTAAAGTATGTCCTAATTATTGTGTGTTACTGTGGAAAACATGGGGGACAGGGTTTGCGAGTACCCCCACCCCCAATACTAGTGCTCATAAGTCATGGGAAATGGTCACATGGAGAGTTTGGAAATTAATAGCTCAAGATCCCTTCTCTGTCCTCCTACCTTTAGTTCTGGGTACTGTTAATTAACTGCCTGCCTTATTTTTGTTTGTTTGCTTGTTTGTTTTGAATCGGGATTTCACTCTGTTGCCCAGGCTGGAATGTAAGTGGCACAGTCACAGCTCACCACAACCTCAACCTCCTGGGTTCAGACGATCCTCCTACCTCAGCCTCCCAGCTAGCTGGGACTACAGGTACATGCCACCAGGTCCAGCTTTTTTTTATTATTATTATTTTTGTACAGACAAGTTCTCACTGTGTTGCCTAGGCTGATTTTGAACTTCCTGGGCTCAAGCAATCCTCCTGCTTCGGCCTTCCAAAGTGCTGGGAATATAGGCATGAGCCACTGAGCCTGGTCTAACTGCCTGCTTTGATGGAGGAGAGGAGGTGGCAGCACCAAGCACAATACCAGGCCTCTCAAGGGCATATACCATAGTGGTTAAGGCTGCAAGGTTCCAGTCCATCTCCTTCACTAACCAGCTGTGTGATCACACACAGATTACTCAACCACTACGAGCTCATTTTCCTCCTCCGTAACCTGGAGACAATAATAGTATGCCTATCTCATAGGACTGTTGAAATGTGAAATGAAATGTGATAGGCTATGTGTATACTTATATAGAGATAGACTGTATATAGTTATGGGACTAATGAGACTATATATTGTAAACATGAGCTGAGTCTATATATAGCATATTAATTCATTTCTAACATTATTTCACTTTGTAAAGCTTGTGTAATTAAAAATGCCTCATATACATTGATGAATGTAGTAATTTGCTTTCCAATACCTATTCTCCCTCAAAGCTGTTATTAAATCAAGGGCACGCTCCAAATTAATGGTATCTTAGAATCAAGGAAATGTGGCACAGTGCCTGGCAAACATTAAGTGGCCAATAGTTGTAGGCTATTGTTATATCAGGTGCTCTAGAAACACTAAGAGCTTGAGTGCAAAGGAAATAAATGCAAGAGAAATCATCCCACGTATAGCAAAGCAGCAGGGAAAGACCTGGGAGAAATATAGCCCAGGAACATGATCAAAGACGGCTGCTGAGAAAGTCTCTTGGCGGATTTTATCAATCAGTAACAATTTGCTGAGCACTTGCTGGGTGCCAGACACTATGCTAGGCCTCAGGAGGTAGAATGAGATAGGCATGTGGCCCTTGAGGAGGGCAGGCTGCTGGAGGCGATAAGGCTTGGATACTCCTGCGGATAAGACAGCAGCGGATTGGTTGCTCCAAGAGCTCTTGCCCCAGGAACCTGGGGAAAGATCCCTCAGCCTGTCCAGCCAGTGAGTCACAGGTTAAACCTCACCCAGGCCCCACAGGGCTAGGCCTGAGGGACGTAAGAGGAGTAGGCAGCTTCTTTGGCAGCTGTGGCAGCTGTGGTGACCAAAAGCAAATATCCTGGAGAAGGGGCCAAGGCCCCAGAGGGCAGCCTATCCAACCCACAGAGGAAGGAGGCCTCTGAGAGCACGTGGGCTGGTGTTTCCCAGACCCAACTCCAGGGACGTGCCAGCTCACCTGCTTTTCTCCTCTGCCCTTCCAGCAAGCCTGCCCTCAAAGTCCCATCCTGGCTATGGCTCCCGGAGAGAAGATCAAAGCCAAAATCAAGAGGAATCTGCCCGTGACAGGGCCCCAGGCGCCGACCATTAAAGAGCTGATGCGGTGGTACTGCCTCAACACCAACACTCACGGCTGCCGCCGCATCGTGGTGTCCCGCGGCCGCCTGCGCCGCCTGCTCTGGATTGGGTTTACGCTGACTGCCGTGGCCCTCATCTTCTGGCAGTGCGCCCTCCTCGTCTTCTCCTTCTACACCGTCTCTGTCTCCATCAAGGTCCACTTTGAGAAGCTGGATTTCCCGGCAGTCACCATCTGCAACATCAACCCCTACAAGTAAGAGGCAGGAGCAGGGAGGGGGGAGTCAGGCCCCCGCCAGAGGCCAGAGCCCGGCCCAAAGGTGACACCCTGGCAGCCCACAGACACGCATTGGAGAAATTTGAATTTGTTGCCAACACTGGTAAACTGTCCTCTCCCAGATTCCAAATCTGTACCAAGTTTCCAGTCCACCAGCGACTCCTGAGGACCGGCTAGCCCTGGGAACACAGAAAAGGGAGGCTGCAGGGATCCATTTTGCTTGGAGGTTGGCCCTGGAATGAGTGTCCTCCTCTGCCCTGCCTCCACCCTCACCACTAAACCCAGCTTAGCCCTTCCCGGCCCACCACCCTTGGACTCTCCAAGCTCACACCCTCACTCTCCCCAGAGTGTGAGCTCAAGGCTGACTCAGAAGTGACACCCAGGTGACTTCTTTAAGCATCTCAGCTGCTCCAGACTCTCATCGGGGTGAACCCAGCCCCATTAATTGAGTTCATTGGGCCCTGGGCAGGATAGTTCTTGATACTGCCCTGTTGCCTGCTGCAGGACCTGTTCTAAATGGGTCATCGGAGTCCTCGAGATTATGGAAAGCCGATCCATGAGGCAGGTCAGAATCAGGCTATATTTGTCAGAGCAGGTGTGGGGGTGTGGAGAAAGGGAGAGCAGAGAAGGAAGACTGACAAGCTTATCAAAGGAAATTAACTTGCCTAGAGTCATCCCTGATTTGATGGAAAAGCTCAAAATCAAATTCAGGTCTAAGCCTCATTCTCCACCTCCAAAGTCTTTCTCTCCTTTCTTCCTCCCTCCTTCTCTCTCCCTCTCCCCATTCCTCCTTCTTTTCTTCCATCTATTATTTGTTCCATAATCATTTACTCACTGACTACAAACTGTCATGCACTGTGCTAGGTTCTGGGGCATAGAGCTGAACAACCCAAATACAGTCTTTGTCCTAGTGAAGGTTACATCGTAGTGGAGGAGCAAAATATTAATAGCACCATTTAATTATATACCTGTATATGTGCATGTTTATTATACAGCAAAAACTTATTGAGCCTTCCCAACTACCCAGTTTTGCCAAGGAAGAAACTGAGATACAGAAAGGCTAAGTGACTTAACCAAGGTCACACAGCCAGTAACAGGATGAGGAACTTGAACCTACATCGTTTGGCTCTGGGTTTCTAATCTCAGTCATTATGCTCTACAGCAGGGGCAGGGGAGAGAAGAGGAAGGAGAGAGTTAAGAGGTGGAGCCTGGAACCACTTGATATTATGAAAATCAAAAGATGGCGTTTTATGCTTCATGCAGGCAACTCCTGTGTTATTCTGTGTTCTTGGGAGTTATCAAGGTAGCAGTTATACCCTCTTCCCACCCAGCACTGATTCAAGGACAGTCAGTGGGCAGGGACAGAGAAGTTGGGTGGAGATGAAGTCTACCCCCGGGTAGACTCCTGGTTAGCCCTTATTTATTTGTCCTCACTGTGCTGGTTTATGGGAGGTACCTGACAGTCACCACTCCAGAAATGCTGGTTGGGACAAACTCCTCATCACACCCCGCGAGCAAGCAGACAGTGGTGACAGAGGTGAAGCCACAGGAAGTCACATAGGGACACTCATGAGCCTGTCTGCATTTGTTGGAGCCAGTGGTCACTTTGGATGGGGCAAGTCGGGTAAAAGACCTGATCTTCTTGGCCAAAGAGGTGGGAAAAATGGGCTCAGACTGACACAGCTGCCAGAAAGCAGCAAGAGGAAGTGCCAGAGGTGCCTCCCCTCCCCCTGACTCTTCCTTCCCATTTTGGCAGGTACAGTGCTGTGCGCCACCTTCTAGCTGACTTGGAACAGGAGACCAGAGAGGCCCTGACATCCTTGTACGGCTTTTCAGAGATTAAGTCTCGGAAACGCCGAGAGGCAGAGACCTGGGATCCAGCCGCGGAAGGCACTCAGCCCAAATTCCTCCACAAGTTCCCACTGCTGTTGTTCGATCAGGATGAGAAAGGCAAGGCCAGGGACTTCTTCACAGGGCAGAAGCGGAAAGTCAGTGGGAGCATCATTCACAAGGCTTCCAATGTCATGCATGTCCACGAGTCCAAGCAGGTGGTGGGATTCCAACTGGTAAGATGCACTTCCTCACAGTTTGGGGGCTTGGGAATGGGATGGGCTGGAGGTAGTGGGTCCAAGGACTCTTCTCTTTGGCCATTACCCCCTATAGTACTGCTGGAAAAAATAGATGCAATTAGGGCAATTTGGATGGAAGCTACTGGAAACCAACTCAGGCAATCTTAGGGGGAAATAAATGTCTTAGGCGGTGACTAGTAGCTCATGGAGACCTCTCAGGGATCTATGTCAGTGGTCCCCAATCTTTTTGGTATACAGGGACCAGTTTTGTGGAAGACAATTTTTCCACAGACCAGAATGGGGGACAGGAATGTGTAGTCTAATATTAATCTGTATTTGCAGCCACTCCCCAGTGCTAGCGTCACCTCAACTCCACCTCAGATTATCTGGCATTAGATTCTCATAAGGAGTGCACAACCTTGATCTTGCACATGCAGAATTCACAGTAGAGTTCGCACTCTTAATGCTGCCACTAATCTGACAGGAGGTGGAACTCAGGCGGTAATGTGAGTGATAGGGAGCAGCTGTGACGACAGCTGAAGCATCACTTACTCGGCTGCTGCTCACCTCCTGCTGTGTGGCCTGGTTCCTACCAAACCACGGACTGTGGCCTAGGGGTTGGAGATCCCTGATCTAGGTGACAAGAAATAGTGGAAATTGCTGCTGAATTAAAGAAGCTTCAACTATTTTTATTCTCTGTTAATGTATAAAAGTCAAATTGCATCTTGGTACTATCTGACTGACCAAGCTTGGGTCACTGGCTCACTCCTTGGCTAATGGAAGGTGGATCATCTGGGTAGACAATCTCACCAGATGACCTCCAAAGGGAGAAAGGAAATTCACCCAAAACAAAATTGAGGTGTAGACACCAGAAGGAAGAAAATAGATAATAAAGAGCAGAAACACTAATGGTTCCTGCAGCACTTGCCTTTGTGAGGCGCTTGGCCTGACTTCATCTTAGCCTTTTGGGCCCATTGAGGGGCTCTTCAGAAGCAGCTAGTCACTGAAAACGAATTCTGTTACCTTCCTGGGCAAACTCAATCTCCACCCTACCTCTCCACACCCCAGGATGGGAGCTAGTTCTATTCCTTATAGCCTTGATTGCTAGGTTGCGAGACCTCATAGCTATAGCCACAAGTTCTGGAAAATGGCCTTTCCTCTAAATCACTGAGATTTCAAAGTCTTCCTTGGTCCTTTCATAGGATGTCCACAAGTTATTTGATACCAAAATCAATTATTTGATGTCTGTCTTTTCAGAAGCATTTCCAAGCCTTGTATGATGAGAACATCTTGAATGTACCATACCATCCCTGTAAAGCTCTTATTATTATATATTTCAAATGTGAGTCCTCCCAGCTACCACATGAGGTTGAGAAGGATGGTATTTCAGTCAACATTTTGTGGGTGAAATAACAAATACATAATGCTTTGCCCAAGATGCTGCAGAGGAGTAGTGTCAGAGTCTGGGCTAGAATCCAGATTTCTTGACTGTTGATATGTTAGGAAATGGGAAAGGTTGTGTAGGAACATAGTAGCATCAGTCATGCCAAGTGGATATGGACTCTGAAGAAGCTGGTTTTGCATCTCACCTGGTGGCCAGAGAATAGTAGGAAGTCATAAGAGTGGGATTTTTTGTCCTTCCTCATTCAGCCCTTTTTTTTTTTTTTTTGGTCCCTAAGGCTTGAGAATGATCTCTCTCAGCCCCTAGAAGTGAGAGGAAACCCGTCCTTGCCCCAGGTATCTCAACTGATTCCCCAAGTCTCGGTCACTCACCCTTACAGTCCTTCTGAAGGGTAGTGGTAGGCCCGATGCGATGACTTCAGCCTGGTGTCTCCTCTTATTCACAGTGTCCAAATGACAGCTCTGACTGTGCCACCTACACCTTCAGCTCGGGGGTCAATGCCATTCAGGAGTGGTATAAGCTACACTACATGAACATCATGGCACAGGTGCCTCTGGAGAAGAAAATCAACATGAGCTACTCTGCCGAGGAGCTGCTGGTTACCTGCTTCTTTGATGGAGTGTCCTGTGATGCCAGGTCAGGAGAGGAAGGCTGCTCTCTCAGCCTCTGAGAATTGGCTCCTCTGAGTGCCATGTTCCTTGCATGTACTTACAGCTCAACTGCCCTTTGGAAACTGCCCTTTGGAAACTGCTTACCCAGGAGCTGGGTTCTAGAGTCAGTGAATGAAGTATACATGACATAGAGTCAAAATATCCTGGCTGGGCACAGTGTCTTACACCTGTGATCCTAACACTTTGGGAGGCTGAGGCAGGAAGATTGCTTGAGCTCAGTAGTTTGAGACAAGACTAGGCAGCATAGCAAGGCCTCATCGCTACAAAAATAAAAAAATTAGCCAGGAATGGTGGTGTGTGCCTATGGTCTCGGCTACTCTGGAGGCTAAGGTGGGAGAATCGCCCACGCCCAAGAGGTTGAGACTTTGATGATCTGGGATTATGTCACTGCACTCCAGCCCGGGCAACAGAGTGAGACACTATCTCAAAAAAAAAATCATTAAACTCATTAAATTACTCGTAAAACAAAGTTGTTGATAGTGTGCAGATAACCTTGTATGTTACCATCAGGTATATGAATGAATAAGATCCACCAATTACCAATCTAGTATAAAGGAAGGAAGGAAGAGGAGAGAGACAGGGAAGAAGATAAGGCTCATGTTCAGATATGTGAGCTTTCAAATCTTTCCACCTTTGGTATAACACTCAGATTACTGGTGGTGACTGGGCAGGGGATGTGATGTTCTAAAAGTGTTCCCACTTGTCTGAAGGGCTTTCTTCATTCTTTTAAGATAACAAGCTTTTCGCACCTCTGTGTTAATAGACAGTTTGGTCCTTGCAAAAACTGAGTGATTGGAATCATGTCTCCCTGAAGGCTGGTCTCTAAAGTCCCATATGGGCATGTATGACATGATTCCTTCTCTGGAGATAATTTCCTGGCACTGGGAATTTGAGTGGAAAAATGTCAAGTACTATCAGCCATTCTCCCAAGAGAGTTGGCCCCACCAGCACTGTCCTTTCCCAACTTCCCCTGAGAGGCATGAGGGGAATTCCCAGTACAGCCCTTTCTGACCCACTTTCTTCTCTTTAGAAACTTCACACTTTTCCACCATCCAATGCATGGGAATTGCTACTCGTTCAACAACAGAAAAAATGAGACCACCCTCAGTACCTCCATGGGGGGCAGTGAATATGGTAAGCAGACTATGAGATCCTCTAACAGTGAGCATGGTGGCAGCAGGATAGTTGGGGGTGTCTGAGCCTTCCAGAAATGCAGAATCTCTCCACTTGGCCGGAAACCAGAAACCACTTTTCCTTGTCTGTGTTTTCATCAGCATTCATGTTGAGTCTTTCCTTCCATGTCAGTGTCTGTTTTCCTTTTTGACTTCTACCTTTAAGAGAGCAGCAGGGACATCGCTGGGTTCCTTCTTCTGGGGAACCACTCTGGGAGGTGAGTGATGCCAGGCAGGTGGCTTCCAGATGGAGTTAAATCCTGATATGCTGGAAAGGGATTAGAGAGGTAGACAAACCTTTATTTGAGTTAAAATGACAGGTTCTGGAGCCCAAATCCAGCTCTGCCACTCACGGTGTGACCTTGGGTAAGTCAATGCACTTCCTCTGTAAAGTGGGAATAATAATAGTATCTCCTATACAAGGTTACCGAGGGGACATAAAATATGGAGAACACTTGGAGTAAGAGCTGCTGTACATTTTATTAGTCTGCTCGCACTGCCATAACAAAATGCTATAGACTGGGTGGCTTAAGCAGTAGACAGTTATTTCTCACAGTTGAAAGTCCTAGATCAAGGTGCTGGCAAATTCGGTTCTGGTGAGGCTTCTCTCCTTGGGTTGTAGATGGCTGTCTCCTCTACATGGCCTCTCCTCTGTGTCATGTGAGGAGAGAGAGAGAGCACTGTGATGTGTCTTCCTCTCCTTATCAAGATACCGATCCTATCAGATTAGAGTCCACTATATCCCCCTTATGACTTTATTTAATCTTAATTAAGGCCCTATCTCCAAATACCATTACATTGGAGGTTAGGGCTTCAACAAGTAAAATGGGGGACACAATTCAGCCATGACACATGCTAAGTACACAATAAATGCTAGCTGTCTTTGTTATTGCTACTATTAGTGCTGCTACTAGTCTGCTACCTTTGCTGCTGCTACCACCACCACCACCACCAATACCAGGGCTATTTCCAGCACTGCTATTGCTACTGTTCGACTACCACTATTTTTGTTGAGAAGGTAGAAACTCAACAGATTGACCTGGTTTACCTCCCAAAAGGAAGTCTTGAAAGGTTCTGGGTAAAATAAACATAATTTGATATGCTCCCACCAGAAAAGGCAAGGTGATGTCATGGAGGAAATTCACCCTTGGAATCCTGCCTTTGTAGTCTGTGCTCTTACCATGTAGTCTGTGCTCTTACCAAGTATACAAGAAACCCTAATTCAGAGTGCCTGCTTCAGTGGGAGGCAGTAGTCTGGGAAGTGAGAGTGAAGAGTTGCAGAGTCCTGGTTCTGCTATGTAAGAGCTGTATGACCTCAGCAAATCACTTTCTCTCTCTGTTTACAAAGTAAATGTCAGAATAACTCAAAGTTCTCTTTTCGCAATCCAGATAGGGCCTGCCCTTTCACTCATTCACTTACCAAACACTTATTGAGTGTCTGCTGTATACCAGGCCTTCTTCTAGGTGACAGGGACACAGCAGTCAATAAGACAGGTGGCATCTCTGTTTCTAGGGAACTTACATTTTAGAGGAGAGAGACAGAGAACAAAGTACACAGACATTACCCAGTCACAAATCCTAATTCTATGAGGAGAAGCAAACAGCAAGGTAGGAAGACAGAGTGACTGGGGTTGGCATGGGAATTTTAGTTTGGGTAAGAGGGTCCAGAAAAACCCTGAGGAGAGTTATTTAAGGATGAGAAGATCCATGTTAACATTCACACAAGAACATTCCAGGGACTAGCAAGGCCCTGGGAAGAAAATGAATTGGACGTGTTCTAGAAACATAAATAAGACCAATGTACTTGGAGCTTATTTTTTCTTTTTTTTTTTGAGTTGGAGTCTCACTCTGTCGCCCACACTGGAGTGCAGTGGCCGCTCCCGGCCACCGCAGCCTCAACCTGCTGGGCTCCGGTAATCCTTCCACCTCAGCCTTCCA